TTGAAGACTATAGTCCTTGTCAGCGAGCAAAGTTGTGTCACCTACATAAAGTAGGTCTATGGTAAAAGTCTTCCTCCAATCCCAATACCAAATTCCTCCTCCTAAATTCCAGTCTTCCAAATGATCTGCTCTGCATATAGATTAAAAAGATACGGAGACAGGATGCATACCAGATGCAGAAATTGGCAAAAAACAAGGCCCCAGGAGTTGATGGAATACCAATTGACATATTTCAACAGGCACATGATGCCCTGGACATGCTCACCAAGTTGGAAATCTGGAGGACAACTGCTTGGCCATCTGGCTAGAAGAGATCCTTATTTGTTCCCATTCATGCAGCACTTTGATGTTAAGGAAAAGTTTATTGTTATAATTACACTTTCTGACAGAGTGAAAAAATTTTAAACAATATCACTAATACCACACACACAAGCAAAATCCTGCTGAAGATTATCCAAAAACATCTTGAATAGTACATAAACAAAGAATTACCAGAAATGCGAACTGAGTTTAGAAGATGCTGTGGCACTACAGACATCATTGTCAATGTTAGATGGGTCTTGGCTAAAAGCAGAGCACCAAAGGAATGCCTGTGTTTCATTGCCTACGTAAAGATATTTGACAGCATGGATCACAACAAATTGTGGCTTGAGAAGAATGAGAATCTCAGAACACCTGATTGTGTTCATGTGAAACCTATACAGACCAGGAAGCAGTAGTCAGAATAGAGCAAGGATTCAAAATCGTGCATGATTCAAAGTCAGGAATACTTGATGGTTGTAAAATACTTCCATAAATGAAAACAAGACCTTGTGTGTGACCTTTTTCTATCCCAATCATCCTCCTTTCAATAATGGTCATCTCAGATTGGTGGGATTACAACTGCTTCATCTGTATTCATCTCGATTACTTTGGGCTTATTTTCAGTAGGAACCAATCCTTAGAGAAAGACATCATGCTGAGAAAAGGTCAGCAAAAGACAGGAAGACCCTCAAAGAGGTGGCCTGACACAGTGAGCGCCACGGTGGACTTGAACATGATAGAGGTATTGAGGATGCTGTATGTAGGACAGGGCAGGGCTCAGCTCTGTGGTTCACAGGGTCACTATGAGTGACCATCAACCTGACCATACCCAACAATAACAACTTCTGTTTTGTTTATCACAGTAAGCATGCAGCACTTTGATAGTAAAGCAAAGGTTATTGTTACAATTACATTGTTGTACAACACTGGCTAATTATTTCTTGAGGGTGTGTTCCATCTATTCAGCTACAGGAGATTGATGAAAGCATTGATTAAATAATGAATGAATTAATTCATTTGAGTGTTCAAAAGGTTTATGGGTTAGGGGATGAATGTTTGCTTCTCAGCCACCTTGAAGATACAGATCACATCACACACCCTTCTAGAGGAAGAACAAGACGGAAGGTCACAGGAGAGGCCACCAGAGCCACCATGTTTGAGCATATCCTTATCATAATCCCTCTCACAGTCCTCTGGGAACTGAAAAGCCACGGCCACTTAACTAGAGGTTTTTGAGTCAGGGTTTGAACCAAGGGTTGTTTTATCCAAAGCCCAAGTGTTATGGCCTGAATTATGTCTTCTAAAATTATGTTGTAATATTCATTGTTATAATCTCACTGAAGAATGGGTTTTCTTTGTTAAGTGTGTAGGTCTTGTCAATGTTATTTGCTTACTTACTGTCTTCAAGTCAGAACCAACTCAGCTGACTGTCCAGCAGATTTCCAAGGCTATAAATGGCGTGAGAGGAGATTTTCCACCCTTTTCCCATGGAGCTGCTGGTGGATTTGAACTGCCAGAGAGGCGCAATGTTGAGGTTGATAGAACAACTCCCTAAACTTCCTATGGACTGGGCCACCAGAGAGTGCCCTTTAGTATAGGGTGTTTTAAGCCAATCGCAACAGCAGGTTAAACATAGAGAAGCCGAGACCTGCAAAGCAGATGCCACATCACAAGACAGTCACCAGGGAACAAAGGAATAAGGAGATGTCCCTAGAGCTGGGGCTCTGCATTCAGACTTCTAACCCCCAAAACTGTGAGAAAATAAATCTCTGTTTGTTAAAGCCACCCACTTGTGGTTTTTCTGTTATAGCAGCACTGGGTAACTAAGACATCAGAACTCAATCACTCCCGGTCCAGAGGCAAATTGTATTCCACCAGTACTCTCCCCAGCATGGAGCCCACTGTGGACCTCAGAATTTGCCAGCATTCCCTGCTAGCCCAAGATGCTGACACAGGCTGCTAGTTATTAATAGTCACTGTCTGAGCTGGGCTGGGCTCCTCTGCCCTTTCTGAGGCCAGCCCAGGACATGGACCCCACCCAGGAAGAGTGGGGTGAATGCCCTCGTGGAGAGGTGAATGAGCACGTCCAGACCTCTGTGGTCTGGGGGATCTGAGTGCAGAGGTCCGAGTGCCTCACCTCACGAGGTGCTTTGAGTGAGACCTCCCCTAACTTTCATTTCCTTACTGAGTATTCTTATCTCTCTGAGCCTCAATTTCCTCATCTGTAAGATGGGAATGAGAACACAAGGTCTGACTCTGTGGTGCCAGTAAGCTAAAGCACATAGCGGTCATATGCTGTCCAATATCCATGAATCATGCCTCGCTCTTCATCTGCTTCTGTATCCAAATGGCTCACCATAGCTAGAATCAGTGTTCAGCCAGTGTCTCCATGTCTACACCCAAGAAGCAGTGGTCTGGGACCATGTCTTCTGAATGGAACCCTCTAGAAGAAAAGGAAGATGGGCTCAGCCGGATTCCTCACAGCTGGACTGACTCAGAGGTCTGTAAGGAAGGAGAACTCCCGGGCTGTGGCTTCACCCCATTAAATAGTTCTTTTAAGAGGGACACTCTGACCTCGTCATTCAGACAGTAACAGTTCCTAACCCATCGAGTTGAAAGCTTTGCCCAAGTGCCAATGACCTTGCTCAGCATTTTGCAAACATTGTTTCATTGAGCCTCTCAGCAATCTCTTTGGTAGTAAACACAATTATCCCATATTGGGCAGTCTCCTCTTCTGTGATTTGCTGCCTGTGAAAACCTGCTGGAGGGTGAGCCATGAGTCAGCTTCAACTCCACGGCACACAACAACAACAACAGGCAGAAACCCGAGGCCAATGAAGGTGAAGCAACTTCTCAGGGTCACACAGAGAGTTGTGGCTAATTCACCACCTCATAGTGACCCCGTAGGACAGAGCACGGGCTTCAGAGTCTTTGAATCCTTGTGGAGGCACATTGAGTTATGGCGGAGCATTATCCAGTGGAGGCCATGGGGCTGGTCCACTGTGGCCAGAGAGCACGAACCCCTGCTGACTTCCATCTCATTCGCCCAGGTTGTTCAGGAGGCAGCAGAGACAGCTGCCTCAGACACGAGTCCTCCAGCAGCCAGCTCAGTCACAAGGTTTCTTCTGGCCTTGTGGTCTCTCCTTCCTCCTCGTTGCCCCTACACAGCCACATGGATTTCACTCAGTCTTCACACAGGAAAGGTCTGCCCCCTCCCTGGGAGGAACGCTTCACAACTTGTAGACCAGATGCAGGTTCTATGATCCTGCAGAGAGGTCTCTGGTGGCCTAGTGGGTACAGGGACTGTGGTGCTACCCAAATGGTAGCACCTCTCAGGCTGTTCGAACCCACCAGCAGATCTGCAGGGGGAAGATGGACAATCTCCTCCCATGCAATTTACAGCCTCTGAAAATCTGTTGGAGGGTCAGCTATCAGTTCTGACTTGACAGCAATGAGTGAGTGAAGGCGTGGCGATCGGCAGCATCTTTGCCATCTTTGCAATCACTTCCATGTTCTTTGTGTCCTCAGTGGATCAAGCTCCCAGAGGAGAGACAGGGAGTCTGTGTCACTGACTGTGATTCCCTGCCTGGTGACGGGGTCTCTGTTACTGTTCATGGACTGTCTGGGGCCGCTGTGACACATTTGCGTGGTTCTGAGAACTACAACCAATAGGCAACATTGTGAAAGATGGAGACGAGGTAGAAATCCAAGGACATGTTGCACTGGGAGCGTCTGCTGTCAGGAACCTCTCCAACGTGCCAAAAAGCATTGATGTCAGTTTGAAGATGAAGGTGTACCTGATCCAAACTTTCAATTGATAATCTTTTCAATTACTTACTTTTCAAGAGGCTTGGAATGATAGCGGCAGATGCAGATACACTCACCAGCTGAGAAAGTTGGATGATCAATGCCTTTGAACTATGGATTGGAGAAGAGTGCTGAATATCCCCTGAACTTCCAAAATTACAAACAAATATGTCTTGGAGAAAGTGCAGCCCAGGTGCTCCTTGGAGACAAGAATAGTGCAGCTTTGTTTCTCATCCTTTGGGTTGTTGTTAGGGAGGGACCAATCCTTGGAAAAGGACATCAGGCTTGGAAAGATGAGGGTCAGTGAAGGAGAGGAAGACCCTTTACGACATGAATTGAGGCAGTTACTATAACACTGGGTTCAAGCATGTCAGAGACGGTGGGAATGGCACAGGATGAGACAGGGTTCAGATCTGTTGTTCATAGGGTTGCTTCCAGTCATAGTCAACACGATGGCACCTAATAACAATGACCCCTCCCTCGGATCGAAATTAAACCTTCTAAGTCTCCATTTGATTGAACTGTGATACACTGAAGCCAAATTCAAGACTTTAAAAAAAAAAACTCAGGCTGCTACCTTCATGAAAACAGTCACAGAGGGAAGGGCCAGGGGCTGGCCCCAGTGGACCCAAGATGATGGTTTCAGTGATGATGTCAATTCCACCTGCTGGCCTGGATTCCACCACCTGGTCCACAAGATGAGGTCCAAATGGCCCAGGCCAGTGGGGCTGGCAGGCTCGGCTCACAGTGGTCTATACCACTAAGAGGGAAGCTGATAAAAGCAGGAGTTGATCTCATGCCACAGGCAGAAGTGAGTCCAGGCAGCAAGAGGACTACATTTCCCATAGTCCCTCAAAGCTTGGGAAAGAGCCATTGGAAGATTTAAATAGCCCAGGCCCGAGGCAGCCAGGCCGCAGCTGTGGCTGCGTCTGCCTCCCGTGGCTCCATTGGCGCTGGCCTCGCATTGGTGGGCTCGATTGGCTGCCCAGCCTGGCACTGACGTCGCTTGGAGCCTGGTGGCAGCTGGAGGTAAACAGCCATGTGCATTCCTTCACTCTATATTTAACAGCTGTGGTGTGGACCTGAGAAGGCAGCGGCCAGGCACAGTGGCGGCTCGCTGGGCTGCTCTTGTCTTTGGGGAGAAGGCCTTCGGAACTGGACTGGCACTGGCCTTCTCTGTTTGACTGAGGTGGCCATGCCAGCTTCCCAGAGCCGGGCCCGAGCCCGGGACCGAAACAATGTCCTCAACCGGGCTGAGTTCCTGTCCCTGAACCAACATCTCAAGGGGGCCCCAGAGCCCCGAAGCTCAGGCAGGAAGGCCCCAGGCCCATCAACACAGCCTCCACCCCCTGGTGATGGGGCCCGTGAGCGGCGCCAGTCACAGCAGCTGCCCGAGGAGGACTGCATGCAGCTGAACCCCTCCTTCAAGGGCATCGCCTTCAACTCCCTGCTGGCCATCGACATCTGCATGTCCAAGCGGCTGGGGGTTTGTGCCAGCCGGGCCTCGTCCTGGGCCAGCGCCCGCTCCATGGTCAAGCTCATCGGCATCACGGGCCACGGCATCCCCTGGATCGGGGGCACCATCCTCTGCCTCGTGAAGAGCAGCACGCTGGCCGGCCAGGAGGTGCTCATGAACCTGCTTCTGGGTGAGTGTGTCCGCGTCTGCCAAGCCAGGCCCCTTGACAAGTAGCCTTTCCCTCCCTGGGACCAGCCGGGCTGGCCGCAGGGTCCCCAGAAACCAGCTGGAACAATCTAATGAGGTTAAGCAGGAAAGGTGTCCCAGAAACAGACCATGAGCAAGCGAATGCAGAAGGTGCACAGGTGAGGGGCCCAGCGAAAAGAGCCGCGAGCGCACAGAAGCCCAGCGGAACCTCTGAGGACGGGTCCTGCGCTTGGCAAAGGTGCCCCAGGGAAGCTTGACAGGAGGGCGAGGGGACAGAAGGCCATGTCCTCCAAAGAGTTAGGGGTCTGCAGGCGCTCGGAGCTGGGGTCCCACCCGTGTGACTCCCACTCAAGGAAGCTTCTTAGCCACAAGCAGGCAGCTCCATGAGACATCCCCATGCCCACCCTGACATCCTACCTCTGATACACAGCTACCTAGGTCAGAGACCCTGCCCAGGATTATCCTACAAGTCCTGGGGCTCCTTGGGATTTAGTCTAGGGCTCCCACTCAATCCAAGCCTCTTAGACACCTTACCTGTTCTTTCCTAGGGCTGTCACTGGAGGAGGGGGCCTAGTGGACGTGTCATTGGTCTGTTTTTCCAAAGTCTTTGCTACCTGCATCTTTCTGTTTAACACTTGCTGGGAGCCAGGCTCCACATGGGGACCATGTGTCAGGAGGCCCCTCCCCTCCACTCAGAAGGTGTTTCCAGTCCCCATTTGGTCCTATCCTGGTCCCCAGGGGACTCTATGCACCCTGTTTCACCTTCCACAGCAGGCCCCATGTCGATGGCCTCACCCTTCTCATGTGGCCACCATTTAGGAGACAGGTGAGGAAGGGAGGTCTCAGTGGAGACCAAGAATGCCAAGAGATCTGCGGTTGGACCACCAAGAAGTAAAGTTGTGACTTTCTTCCTTGCCAAGAGGGAGTTGTGACAAAAACATGCATTTCCTCCCTTAAAGTCTTGAGAGTCTCAAGGCTCCATGCTTTGGGTGTGAGTGGGGACTTGACTCAGAGAAAACAATTGACTATTTCCCACAGGAGATGGTGGGCTTGGTACCAAAGAGTGTTTTAGGTCTTATTACTAAATGATTTATAATTCATTTCTTATTTTATCCTGAATAAAACAGCCTCACAAGACAGGTGCTATTAGCATTCCCATTTTACAGATTGAGAAGTTGAGGTTCCTCTAACTAAAGTAACCTGGTCAAGGGTTTAGCGTTTGAGATTAGCACTTGACATGCAAGCTTTAGCTCCTCCCATGAGCCATGTGAAGGGCTTAATAAGAGCAGCGTGGTCAGGGTGCTGGGCGGAGGCCCTCGAGGAACAGAAACTGGTTCTCAATATCTGCCATTTCTGCAGTGTGTGCCGATGCCTCATGCAGGCCTCAGGAAAGCTGTATTGGGGGTGACCAGTCTGCCTGGTGTCAGAGGACGGGGCGGAATAGCACATGGGAGAGCTGATACCAGAGCCTCACTCTAAGCTGAGCTTCCCAGGGCCTGGTCTGCCCATCCTTCTCCAACCCCCAACTGTGGTGGTGAAGTTGTATTAAGAATATTCTGAGGGTTGGGGGGGAAGAGAATGTATTGAAGGATTTTGCTTAAGGCCACATCACCACTTCTCATCCTCACAGCTGATATATCCTCTTGTTAAGAAGAGGAAACAGACATGGGGTAATGACTTGCCCAAGGTCACACAGCTTGTGAGTGGTGGAGTCAGGATTAGAAGAGGGGGACTCCCTAGCTCTGCATATTTCAGAGGAGGAGGCAGAAGGCACCAGCCTCTGTTTGGTGCTCCAGGCAGGACGAAGAGTAAGTAAGCAAGGCCAAACCCAGGGACAGAGCTCAGCATTCCCAGGCAGACCAGCTCCAAGAAAGGAGCTAGTGAGAAAGGAGATGAGCTCTCTGTGGCAAGGGGCATGCAAAGCTTTCCTGTCAAAATATTTAAACGCTGTTGAGCTCAGGCTTCTGCCTCCTTCCAGAGGCCAGACACAAAGGTATTTTCCCCACGGGACAATGGAGAAGGCTTGAGAGGCCTCCTCTCTTAAGTAGGAATAAGAAAGTAATTTTTTTTCGTTTTCGGAAGAAAGATTGATTGTCCTCATTGTATACCAAACACTATGCTATGGAGGGAGCTCTGGTGGCCTAGTGGCAAGAAGCTGTGTTAACAATCCCGAAGGCGTGCCGTTCAAATCCATCAGATGCTCCACTGGAGAATGAGGGGCAATCTCCTCCTGTGCCAGTTGGATCCAATTCAACGGCACACAGCAAAAAAAAAAAAAGGGGGGGGGGAACAAACAACAACAAAAAAGCAAACAACCCCAAACAAATACTATGCTATGAACAACCCACAGTTTATTTTTTAAATGTTCCCCATGACCTTTCAAGGTGCCCATGCTATAGGTGAATTAACTGAGAATGTGAGAAGTGAAGGGACTTGCACACACCCCACACCTCTCAGTACTATGTAGACCTGGGAACCAAATCCAGATCCTCTTGACCTCAAAGCCCAGGCCTTCCATCACCACCAGCAGCCTTCACATCAGACCATTCAGTATTGTCCAGACATTCCTGCATCACCCCAGAAGTGTGGTTGCAGTGACGAGGTGAAGGGCCTGGGAGAGATAGATGTTCTGTCTACCAGACCTTTAGTAACACATCGGATACCTGGACCGTCAAGCAGTGAAGGCCTGATGCAAAGCAGCCTCCTGGGATGGCAGCTCTGAGCAGGTGGGTGGGAAGAGCCGGTCTGTGAGCCTGTGGTCACCTTCTGGGGATGTGGATTCGACCTTCCCCAGCCTTGGCCTGACCCGCCAGAAGGTGCTGTAACCACTGTTCACAGCGGTAATCACAGCATCAACTGAGCACTAAATGCCCGTGTTCTGCTTGTTCTTTAGTCTTTGTGGTGACTGGTGTCACTTGCAATCCTAGAGCCAAAGCCTGTGCTTTGGCCGAATCCCAGACTCTCCACTAATTCCTGTCTCTGAGCCTCAGTTTTCTATTCTGTAAAATGGGGCTATAAGCTTGTGGTGCAGATGTAAGGAGAAGAAGCTTGGTTTATGGCCCATGTCCAGGAATGACAACACTGCTTTGTCAGGACTGTCGGAGAATCATTGCCTCAGTACCCAGGGGGAAGGTAGACCTGCCCAACCCTGCCCACCCACTCCAAGCACACATCAGATTTCTGGCACAGTCCTTGAGTTCACAGTCAGGGCTTCAGGACCTCCGAAGGCACCTGAGGTCGTTTGGGAAGTGAGAGCTCTAGTGACCACCAGGCCAATGGAAGGTCCCACCTGGGTCTGGAGGAAGTCCTGTGTGTCACTCCAAGCAGGGGGTGGAATCCCAACTCCAGAAACCTCCCAGGAAGAAGGAGACTTAACACTTAGCAAAGACTTGGACATTTTAGCAGCAACCAGTCTGGGTTACAAATCCCAGCCTTGCTTGAATCTTGGGCAAGTGACTTCCTTTCTCTGAGCCTTGGTTTTCCCTTCTATCGAGAGGGTCATTAAGACATTTGACTGAATTACAGAGCTCCAGTCTCCCCCCAGGTCCACTAAAACTCTCTCCTCTAACCCCTCCTTCGGAGGGGCCAGGTGACGCTTGATCCATAAGGCCTATGGCAGTTCATCAAGCCCCGTTTCCTCATGGACATGGGTTCTGTGGTTGAGAGTGGCCTTTATGTCTTCTTGCCCCGGTCTATGTCATTCATGAGTGTTGTGTTTTTTTAGACTGTCTAAGATGTCATTTATTTAAAAAAATCTTTCACATATTTTATGAGGAAAATATTTAAACATCATAAAGATTCTGAGAAAAAGTGATTCCCTTGGGCTCTGCTCTGCTGTAGGGATGGCATTCTGACTTTCTCTCTACGCACTTGCTAACAGTGTGTTTTTCTAAAATGACCTCTGTCGTGTTTCACCTTGTTCACATGGCCACACACGTGTGGTCTAAGTGGGACAGGCATGGCCATCTACCCTTCCTCTTACAATCTTGGTCTTCAACTCCACACACCGTCTTATCAAGCAATTCAGACCTTGGAGTGGCTTCCTCAGCCTTCAGCATCTTCCCCCACTCCACCCTCTCTGTCCTCCATCCTTGACCCTTTGGTTACCTTATATGACTCCACTACCATTTAACCCCTTGATTATTTCATAGCATCTCTCCATTCTATTTACTGCCTCTGAAAACCTGCTGGAGGAGTTCCAACTTAACAGCACACAATAACAACTTTTTTCCCTTGGCCCCCTAACCATCTCTCAGTGTTCCCCATCCACTCACCCAACCCAGTTCCTCTGCCCAGCTCTCCTCTCCCCTGTCCACAAGCTCTCGGGAACACCTCCAGGAAGGCTGGACCGTCAGCAACACTCCTTCTTCCTGGAGATGACACGTACTAAGTTATCATGGCAAGACATGGTGCATCACCTCAGGGGAGCTCTTGGTCACCCCTAATCAGGTCAAGCCCTCATTATATGCAGTCACTTCATCTGCTTTTGAAGCCGAAACAGCAGAAATGAAACAACCTTTTTGTGCAGTTGCGGAGAGGCCCGCTCTGCATGGCCTCCTGTTTCAGACCCACCAGCAGTGCATGCTGCTCAGATGTGTGACTAAAAGACGCCATCAGGCCTGCACACCTGGCATTTTGAGCACTCACGCCCCAGGCAGGTAGAACAGGCTTTAACAGTTTCTTCAGATGAGAAAACAGAGGTTCTGAGAAGTTAAGGCACTTGCTCAGAATCACTCAGGCCAGGATAATTAACTCAGGCCTCAGGCCAAGTGGGCAGGTCCTGGTCAGAAGCAGGGGCTACCCTGGACAGAAGAGAGGCCAAACATGCATACCCCCTGCTCCCACTAGGGGACCAAGCTTCCAGAGTTAAAAAGGCTGCTTTCCTCAGTCTGCCCCCCACCCCCTGCTCATGCATCCATTCCCAGGGGCTGTATTCTTCTGTGAGGGGTGAGGATTTTTATTTAACTCTTTTTTTGTGAGAAA